GCGAAGAGGTTGCGATTGAGTCGGATTACGGCGTTGCCTACAGCCGAAGAGATGTTTCATGTGAATGCGGAGGGGGATGACGACGGGGAGATCGGGCCGGATGGGGCGAAGAAGAAGTTGGAGGCGCTGGAGAGGATGGGCGAGGCTGAGGGAGAGGGTGGGGAGGAGGAGTGGGAGGATGGCGGGGAGGAGGAGCAGGATGTTGAGTATGATGACTCTGATGCGGGTGATTACGACGCGGAGAATTACTTTGACGACGGCGAGTTTGGCGAGGATGATGGCGGCGGGGATGATGAGCATGGTGGTCGGGAGGGCTCGTACTGATTTTGGCTACCTACTGAGAGTGTACGCCTACGGCCAAGACTGAGGCGACGACGAAGACGGCGAACATGGCAAAGGCGGAGGGATTTGCTTAGAGGCCTTTTTGCTACTACCTCAGACCAATTGTCACTAACGAACGAGACACGAGAGGCATCACCGGGCGTTATGGGCGGATGAACGGCTTTGCTGAGCGGATTACAGCTCCCTGATACCCAATCAATTAAATACCTTCTATCAAGGTTCAGACTATAAAATACAGACACTCTTTTGCAATTCGAAGTATCGTACATTAAAGTACCTAAAGGTGTTAACAATAATTATGTAAACAGAGACAAAAAGACAAAAGCTCAAGTGCCCAGTTCGTGAATCGAACTGGGCACCCTACGAAACCCTCCATCTGAGAAGACTTCTCGGGATTTCATCACCAAGTTCTTTACTAACGGACCAGGGCGTTATACCGCTCGACCATGGGGGTCGAGTTGGCTTGGTTGACGAATGAAGCGCTGGACCTGAATGTAAGGGTACTGGACTGTTGCGTATTCGTCTCGTGTATTCCTGTGATGTACGGACCATGAGAACGAATCGCTTAGAGGCATCGCGGCGACGGTGATTCATCCTCTTGGTCGAGCCTTGGTATTGAATCAGCCTATGCGTCTGGGCTATCGAACCGTCTCTCACCGCGCTTGCTTCCCATCAAAGTTGATGCAGACCATATCCATCACATTCTGGGATCTCAATGTCCAAGCATTACAACCTTACGACCCTCAACCGCGGCCACATCTGCCCAATGGTTTTCAATGCTTCATTTCGCCCTATGCTGCCGGTATATAATTCTTTTCCCCAACCTGAACGCCGTTTGCTTCCCTGGACCGTGGCCTTCCCTTGCATACTATGTATCCACAAGACACTTCCATCTTGATTCTGCTCTCTTATTTGGTGGGGTATTGGCGCTGGAGCTGAGTGAGCTTTTCCCGTACGTCCACAATACTACCCGCGGCCTCGTAAATCTTGTCACCCATCATCTTGATCGTCTCCAACAGGTCGAGAACCATGTTAAAGGCCGGCACCTGGGTCTGGTCCCGCAGCGATCGCACACGCTCGTAGAGACCGTGCTCAACGCCGGGCATGTGCTGCTCCATCTCCTTAATCTTCTGAACCTGGAACTGGCTGAGTTCCTTCAGACGGTCGGCCTCGTTGGAAAAGAGAGTGAGCACGTCTTCTAGGTTGCGGTCCTGGTTGCCGTTGGTCGTGTTGCCGCCCGATCCGCCGCGGGTAAGCCAGGTCTGGTGGTAGTGTGCGGGAAGCTTCAGCTGGTCAGCACCTGCGAACGCCATCTTGGCAATATCCGCGTCCGACTTGACCAAGTCCTTGAGGTGTCCCAGAGTGACAATATCCTCGTCCAACGTCGTCTTGACGCCCTCGTACTTGCGCTGGAGCCAATTGACGTCGTTGGTAAGTTGTGCGAGGTCACCGCCGTGGGCGGCCATGAAGCCTCGGATTTCGGATGCGTGTGCCATGAAGCGCTGGATCATGAGATCGCAGTTCTCCATTTCGGATTGGATGGATTGTTCGAGGTCATTGAATCGCGTTGTGCCCTTGATATTTGACATGTCTACTCGCACGCCAGGAACGCTTTGCTGCGTCGTCGACTGACCCATAGTTAAGCCGGGAGCAGAGCTACCTGCGGGCTGAGTTTGGCCGCTGTATGTCTTGTTAGTCACTGGTCAGATGCCTTCTACGGGATGCCACTTACAACAGACCGCCGGGCTTCGGCTGGTTCTGAGCCTGGCTCTGTCCGAAGAGACCAGCACCCGTGCCTTGGTTCTGCTGGGTTTGCTGTGCATTATTGCCGCCACCAAAGAGACCTCCTCCTGTTGACTGTTGCTGCTGGGGCTGCGCTGTGCTCGCACCAAAGAGACCGCCCGTCGCCGGCTTCGCGGGGGTTGCACCAAAAAGCCCTCCACTCTGCTGCTGCTGAGGCTGTTGTTGCTGTGTCGCAGCCCCTCCAAACAATCCTCCTCCAGTCTGCTGTGCAGGCTGCTGGGTTTGGGCGCCTCCAAAGAGACCGCCGCTACTTTGCTGCTGCTGGGATTGCTGTGCTGGTGCCGCTCCAAATAGGCCACCGGTGGCTGGTTGTTGTGGTGTTGAAGGCTTGTTGCCAAAGAGTCCTCCTCCTGCCGTCGAAGTGCCGCCGAAAAGACCGCCCGTAGCAGGCTGTGTCGTCGTCGCCGTCGTCGAGGCTCCAAAGAGTCCTCCGCCACCGCTAGGTGCGGAAGTTGTGGCATTACTGGTGGTGCTAGAAGAATCCGCATCGTTATTAGCTTCCACGAGTCTACAATGAGCACAACATAGCAAGACTCTTTCAACTCACCCTGCATTGGCGGCACCAGTGTTAATGCTCAAGCCACCAGCCGATCTTCCAAACATCTTGAATTTTTTTTCGAGTACGCCGATATCAGGTTGTTCAAGTGCGTGCTTGCGAGGCGCGGGCGCGTCGGTCCTCGAAGTTGGGGGGTTGGGCGAAAAACGTAGCGATTGGTGATGGCCTTCTGTGGTTGAAGTATTTGTTGCTCCTGGTTGCTCCTTCGCGATATTCGACGGGGAAGAATTGGCTGCTGTTTTGGCGCTCGGGCCATGGGCAGCTTCGATAGCTCCAACAGCGAGCGTTGCCTCGCCCGCTTTGGTGGTAAAATGCGACGGTCTTTCATTGGCTAATCGGTGTCGCTTTTTACCGACTGCCGGGCTCAACTGTGGCTCGTCGAGGTCCATAGTTTGTGGCTGGTGGTTTACCAGGGCATTTCGGTGTGGCACTGGCTGTGGCGCGTGTTGTGGCGTTTGCTGCTGGTGGCGGCCTGGGCGGCCCTTGCTGTGTGGTGGCCGCCGTGGCCCTCTCGGTGGTGGTCCCCTCGGCGCGCCAGAGCTTAGAGCTCTAGGCGCCAAACCACTGAATGCAAAGCAACCCGCAAAAGCTGCATCACCAACACCTGCACCTCCATTCCCACCTCTACCCGTACCACCGCCACTCCCTCTCCCTTCTTGAGACATTGCCGACAACATCGTAAGACGTAAACACAGCTAAAATGGACATCGATGAAGACGACGATTTCTACGCGGATGAGCCGTCCACCGAGCAGCCCACTACAAGCACAACAACAGCCGAAAATGCTGCTGCTCCTCCACAGGAGGCGTCGCCAAAAGTAGAGGCACCAGAGAGCAAATCAGAAGAGCTCGAGGAGGGTGAAGAGGAGGACGAGGGCGGCGCCATGGATGAAGACGAGGATGATTCTGTATATACCCTCCCTACCTTGTACCGTCGTTTTGTACTTGTGAATTGGGGACTGACTGTTCTGGCGCTTTCTCCAGGATATCGACATCATCACCGAGCGCAAAGATGGCACAAAGGCTGCACCCCCGACGTACGTCCCAACTTCTGTCCACCTACAAAGACATGGAGCTTTTTTGTGCCTCTGCTCACACAAACAACAGACAATCCCGCTACAGCGACATCAGAAACATCCCACAAAGGTCAGCCTCCAACGACATGGCTATCAAAGCAGCCCCAGTCAAGGAGGAGGATTCCGCGAGAGCCTCACCCTCCGACCTCCCTCTCGGTGTCCCCAGCGCCGACAAGGCTGCTGCCGCGGCTTCCAAGTCTACCATTGACGTCAACGCGAATCCCGATTACCCTCCCGTCGGGAAGCCAATCACCGCGGTCAATATTGACGAGGGTAAGAACGGCCACTCGCACCTGCTGCGGTGTCGTGTCGCTAACATTGCCTGCAGACTTAACCGAGAACGAGAAGCCCTGGCGCAAACCCGGTACCGATATCAGCGACTACTTCAATTACGGCTTCGACGAGTTCACGTGGGCACTCTACGCTGCCAAGCAGGAAGCCGTTCGTGGAGAGTTCAGCGGCGACGCCATTGCCGCCGGCCAGAAGAAGATGATGGAGGACTTTGGCATGATGATGATGGGCGGAATGAACATGCCCGGCGGAGGCGCCGCGCCTGGCGCCAACGCGCAGGCTGGAGGCATGCCCGGAATGGGTGGCATGGACGGTATGCCGCCCGAGATGCAGGCCATGATGCAGCAGATGATGGGTCAGGGCATGGATCCCAGCCAGATGGACCCCTCGCAAATGTCGGCCATGTTCAATGGCATGCAGGGCCAGGCTGGCAACGCTGGTCAAGGCGGGCAGGGACAGAACTTCAACCAGGGCTTTGGCGGAAACCAAGGACAGTACGGAGGCTACGACCAGCAGGGCATGGGAGGCGGCAACCGCGGCGGATTCGGCCGAGGCCGTGGCGGACGCCGCCAGTGGTAGTCACCCCCTGCGTTCCGTGTATGTTTACAAAGATGTGCTGGTTATGTATGTCCAGCCCGGCCGGCGTTTTGGGAATTCGGTGGTGAGGTCACACATGGTTTGCTGAGGAAAGTTCCGAAAACGGGTCGCGGAACGGCAAAAGCAGGCATAGATACCCTGACAAGTCATCTGGCATTTCTCTCGAGATTCTTGCTTCTATCTGTGTAAACAAAGTGATTTGTCCCCATCCGTACAACAGAGCTTGTTTTGCCCTGTCCCTAAATCTGCTTCGATTTGCTTCTAGGAAAGCTTGAGCAGTTTTGTAAGGAATGATTCTCATGAAGGCTTTCTCAATCGACCTCTCCGACCGACACCTCAAAATACATCGGCAGTGATCTCTTTGCCGGTAGCGATGGCCAGCTCAGACCTGTTGACGTAGTGCCGGTTCGCGTAGTCGTCCGCGGCATCCAAGTTGATGCACGTGTGCGATGACACGATGTCCACGTCGGCGCCGCCCCGGGTCTCGTTGAAGGAGTACGTGTTGAACGCGAGGTTGGCGTTGCAGAGAATGTACTGCTTCAGGAAGTCCGCGCAGTGATCTATCAGACTTTGTTAGCTACGTGTCTCTTATCACAGAAGTGGGAATTTCGACATACTAATGTGTGCGTGTTGCCACTTTGGGTCATTCTTCATCTTCATGTGGTCTTCTTTGTAGTACTCGGGATAGGTTTGCTTCCACATGAGGTGCTTGAGCTCCCGTCAGTTATGTTCACCGAGCACTTGAGAGGGATGGAGCTCAGAATACTTACCACGCAGTGCAAGGCATGAACATACTCAAACACTGCCAGAGTACCGTTTTGAGCAGAGGTCGAAGCCCGGAGGGGCTCTCTAGTTCTAAACTCGTTTCTAGGAAAGTCCTCGTCGGGGATGAGCATGAAATGACCTAAAAGGTTGAGTCAGTCTTGCCGCAGTGAGAAAGGAAAGCGGCCACTTACGCTCGTCGATGAGCTTGTCCCAAGCAGCATCTAGCTCCGGAGACGGACCTGAGGTATCGGCCTCCTTGAAGATCGTCGGACCTCTGATCTCTTCGAGATGACCCACATCTGGAGCTTGCATGTTAGTACCGCACTCATGACTTTGCTGAAATATTTCGTACTTGTTCGTTGGTTGTGGGAGTGTTTGCTCTGGCGGAAGTGATGAACACCGGTAGCGGAGAGAAGAGCCACGGAGATCAAGAAAAGAAGCACCTGAGATACGCTGGGTGACCAGGAACGACGACGCGGACTCGGTTCCCGACTCTGTTTCAACTCTTCATCTTGCAGATGAGCATACGCGGATTTCTCGACAGGGCGGACGAAGCCGGCCATACGGTCAAGACCCTTCGGTTGCATTGCGGACAGCTAGATCTCTGGATTCAATTGAGACGCTCTAATGAGGGAAGTCGGTGTATGGCTTCGCAGAGGAAAGTTTGTACAATAAGAGAATCTAAATTCGTTAAAGAAACCGGGCACTCGGAAACCGTTGGTGCGATAACATCCACTTTCATACATGCATCTGTGAGGGCCCTTTTTAAACGAAGGGGCAAAGTCCGGCGCGGCGGTCGAGTTGACTCTGCCGATTCTTGATAACGGTCTTGTTTGCTCATTCTCGTCGATCGTGACGACGAAGGAAACTCCTGAAACCCACATCGCTATCATGTTTGCTCCCCGCCTTGGAACTCCTTGGAAGCTATTCGTAAGCGATTATCACGACTTTTGCCCCTTGGCAGATCCCGCCATCGTCACCACCACAGCAAAAAGCGGCGGTAAACGCGGACATCTTTCTAAATCTGACGATAATTCTGGCCTCTCCGAACACTTTTTAGGCTTGGTGTTATCCGGGGTGTAATTCCTTCAGCAAATGTTTGTGAGCTGTGATTGGCTTGTTGGAAGTGTTCGTCCGTTGGTTGTTAATTGATGATGACACGTTTTGGTCTTGGACCCTTGCCCCGGCGTTCCGGTGCCGGGACTTGGATGGGGTTGTTGGAGATAAGTATGTGGGTTTCGTAATGTCTGCGCCGCTGGCCATGGAGGGGTTGAGCAAACATCACGACGACAATGCGGCCTATTGACGTGTCCGGGGTTGAAGGTGTGAGGGGCATCTGTGACGATTTGACCCGGACGAGACGGGGACTCGGGGAAGAGTCCGCAGGCCTCGGAGGATTCGGTGACACATCCTCAAGTACCGGCTCGGAGGCAGTTTGCTTTTCAGATGCCAATGGCATGAATGCAGTTGGATGCATGTGGTGCTTGAGATGGTTCTTCTTACCTTGCATTATATCACCTATTTTGATATGCAGGTTTGCCGTTGATAGCTGGTCGCAAGTGACAAGTGATGAAAGAAGCTGGCAGACTCATCGTCTAGCACAATGAGGAGGACCTCACGTTGCCCGCGGCCATCGTTCAAGTCGTTTGAGTCTAGATCAACTGAGATTTCTCGTGTCGTCACTCTTCCCGAGTCTCTCTCCTTCGCAAGAGCTTCGCCAACATACTCATGACAGTACGCAAAACTTCAGGCCCAAGACAACTTCAAAATTGTTTTACTCTCACCTTCTAGTTTTCTCCCAGTGGCGGAAAGAGCCATTGTAATGGATCGACACTCATCTGATACTGGCGCCAAGCTGCTGGTCGCAGAGGTGAACGACTTGGAGCATGATACACTCTGCAGCCGCTGTGAGAAGTCCATCACGGGAGAAACCTCTTCGGGTTACTGGTACCTGAAGCTGCTCTTAGTCTTTCTCCTATGCCAGGTCCCCATCCTGGGGCTGAGCTTCCTTGCATTCCATGCCTTCCAGAGGAATACTAATGCCACGATCCAAGGCATCGATCAGCAGGACTGTAAGAAGCTTTTTATGGATGCATCTGGCCCAATCATCACAAGTTAACTCTTGCACCTAAAGACTTTACTCTCGAGAGCTACAACTCCACTGAGAAGCTCTACGACATTGTAGATGCTGCTGATAGATCACCGGAAGCAGACGCATTCTGGCATGAGCTTCAGAAGAGTAAACATCCTATTGTCCTTGACGTAGTTGACATGCTCATAGCTGACAATCAACAGCCGACGGCATAGTCGCGGTCCGTAGCGAATGGGCGAAGGAAAAGGCCCTGCCTGACACAGTCTCTCACCCTGACGACCCGGCTTCCAAGATCTACCAAATCAACGTCTTTCACGCACTGCACTGCCTGGTACGTTCAGAGACCTAGAAATCTCGGTCGCTTGTTACTAACGTAAGCAGTACCGCATCAGGAACAGACTCACATCGAACATACCACTCGAGAAGTGGCCGCGCAATGATATCCACACCATGCACTGCGTAGACCACATCCGGAACGACTTGATGTGCCACGCCGACATCTCGCTCTCGGGATCAGACGAGTACGTCTCTTTCAACTCGCATGGCTACAATCAGAAGTGCAGAGACTTGGGTGCTCTGCAAAGGTGGGCGAAACGACACAGCTGGGCCGGGTATAAGGATTACCTGGAAGGCGTTGTTGGATATGATTTCAATGACGCGGAGCGGGTGAATATGGCTACGGCTGGGAAAGGGCACTGGAATAAGGCACAGAGCACGCTAGATAAGGATACTGGGAAGATTGAGCTTTGGTTTGAAGAGGACTGAGTCAATAGAAGTTCCACAAGTACTATCCCCGCAGCACATACTCTAGCTATGGAATGTTTGCATCCAAGCAGGCATCAGATTATCAAATTCTTGGATGCTCGGAAGCTCGGAAGCTTCCTAGATCCTTGAGCTCAGGAGATTCCTTTGACGAAGGTCTTCATGGTAACTTTGGGTGATTTTATAGTTTAACGTGAACCAATGTCGGTTAAGCGACCTATATTCCTCAAGGCCTTGGAATAGTATCGATTCGGAAGGTTGCAGGTAGCAGACCTGAACCGCGTCTTTCAGCCAGGTCCATGAGCCCGCGAGGACTGTGCTGCCCCCATCTTCTTTGTAACGAGGAAACGCCAAGTCTCGGCCTGAACATGCAAAGAGAGAGCAAAGAACACCCTAACTAGCAACCTTATCGAGTACCCGAGGCTCGTGTGGGGATACTATCCTCTTGGTGAAGGTACATGGACAATTGGACACGGCAGTTGTGCCGAAGAAACACATCACATTTTGAGACCCTTGAAAGACAACGCAGGACCCGAAAGACTTCAAAGATTGAATTGCTTAATTTGTGCTACGAAAACAGTGCTATTGTCGTTCGTTGTTCCTGCCTTGTGCATTGGCAAACTCCTTGCCCTTGACTAGTCGGCATCTAATGCTATACGTTCTGGAAGTGAGCAAGTAACCCGTCAAATGCTTGTCACAGACTAACTCCTATAGCTTCATGAACTAAGATAATGGCTAGTCAGATGCCGCTGAAACCGTTAAAGACAGGATAACCGAAACGCAGCCATACTTTCAAGCTTTTTGTGAATCAGAAGCATTCAACACAAGCAGTCGAGGCGTCTGTCGTAGCATCTTCGACTGGGCCCTCGTCGCCGAATGAGGCAATGGAAGGGCTCGCGTAGATGAACCTGGGTTCGAGGTCTGCCTTGAGCTGGACTGGAGCAGCGAGAATAGATGCCATGATGGCGGCGATAGGAAGGAAGACTCTAGCAAAGAACATTTTGAGGGTGCTGATTGAGAATATGGGCCTTGATGTTGATGGTGCGCAGATGAAGAATTCGCTGAGTGTATCCCTGGACGAGGGAGAGTCATGCCTCTTTTAAGCTTTGAACCGATAGGTTTGAACAATGTTCTCAAATATCATTGAAAAGTCAGGGAGTCTTTCGATGAGCATAGTGCGGCACGAGTCTCATCCTTTCCTCGGGGGGGAAACACCAACAGCACCGTCGGTCTTTGGGAGTTGGGGTCTAAGGAGATAAGCGCCAATGTGATATGTGTGATGTCTGTGGTTTCCAAAGCAAACCGCATGATGTTGGCTGGAAGGGCTTTGTTCTGCAAGATCCATGTGCAGTCACATGGTGTTGGATCGGACTAGTATGTATTGACACGTTCAGTGCCTCTCCTTCTCCGCCTGACGCCGGGACCACAAGCTCATCCAACGGCCTTACCCACCAACTGGTAAAGGAATAAGCTAGATAAATGATTCCAGATATAACAGGACATGTTCACGCATTGGTTCGGTAGTTCCAATCTGTGTGCGGGCGTTTCCTCTAAGGGGGCTGGGCGGGTGGCCCTGTTCACATTGGGGGCAACGAGGAGGGACGCCAACAGCTGCGTCAACCAACATGCATACCAGAAACGCCATCAACAGTTGCTAAGTTCAGGATAGCTTTGAATGCGGAAAGTACCTCCTAGTATTAGCAATGACTAGGGTAGACTGTTCGGTACGCTCAATTAGGGACATTCACCTGCCGACACTGCGGCTGTCTTTTACTACCTAGTCAGTTACAGTATGTTTGCCTGCGCCGAGAAGGTGGGCTGTCACTCGAACAAAGCGCAATCCGACGCTGTTAAGTCTCAAGACAAACATGATATTTGATAGTTGATATCTTGGAGAATTGTGAACACGGGCGGCGATACTGAAAGGAAGGTGGCAGAATGCTCCGATCTCGACTTCCCTATGCCGGCCTCGAGACCTTGACCTTACCCACTCGTTTGAGATCTTTCTTCCTGTTACCTCGCTTTACCATCTATGTCTCAGATTTTGAAGGCTTCTGAGTAATTCAGCTCTTAGGTGCATCAATGAAAAGTCCTTTTGACGCCAAAAATCTCAGTTGCCAACGCACCACTCATCGATTTAAGGGATTCCTCATGACGAACTTCCAAGGTGACCCCGAGGCTGACGTTCTTCTCAGCAGGGAGCACAGTCGGGTCAAAATCGAATCTTCTGTGGACCGACGTCGATGGCACCTTTCAAGATTTCTTTGCTGGTCCGCTTTGATCACCCTGCTGCTGTTCGCACTCGGCGCTTTCAGCCATGAATACTCTTTGTTGAGCATCGAACCCTCTCCACACACAGTTCCAGTACACACCTGCGGCTCTACAGTCCCCGAAGCAAAGGCGAATGGCTGCGTTTTTGATGTCATGGCATATGGCTGGGTCCCATCCCAGTGCTATAACGGCGACCTCGTCAGCACGTACAACGCATATAGTATGAGCCCTTGGGCATTCGACAAGAACCTCACCAAGCCAGCGTCCGAACAAGTGCTTATGGCTGGAGAGAGGAGAATTCTCTACACGGACTTACGATTCCACCAAGAACACTGCTTCTACACATGGCATAATCTGCTACACAGCGTCGAGCATCAACGACCGCTGATACACAACTTGTCGGCGTCAACCGAACACCGACACCACTGCAAGGGACTATTCTTGCATGGAGAAGCGCCAACAGGCCCTGTCGCACCAGCATTCTTCCATTGTGTGGACATGGAAGAGCCGTTCTTGCTTCGAGAACACATGTATGAGTAAGACTGAGGTTACGAGCCGGAAAGTCTGTCGCATGACAACGCGTTCTCATGTTGACTTGAACTTCGGATGGCTGAGGCTTGTATTGGAATGAACACAGGTCGCCTGTTCGTCTTCCTACTGGTGATGGGATTGGAATCTACACGTTCTCCGTCTCGCGTCCAGCTAAGAATCGCGTCAGGAAGCTTGAAATGACGATTTCCTTCGTATGTCGCAGCTGGCTTTGACATCAAATGAAGATATCTTAACGGAGTCAATGCAAAGGGTTTGGTTCTAGAATGCGTGAAGAAATCTGGAACAAACAACTAAAGTGCTCAAACAACCAAATATGATTGTGGAAAGTTCTTACTAAACCACCTCTTTCGGTAAATTGCTCGTCGGGACGCCTGCCAAGATCTTTAGTCTCCCGTCCCTTGTGTGACTTCACATTGCTATTATTACCGATCGTGTCTTTCTCCTGCATGCGAGGTGTCTGCTGCCGAACAAGAAGGAGGATTCTCCAGGAAACAAACGCAACGTACCCGTGATTGCTTCCACCAATCCGTGACAGTCAGTGGATCACATCGGGAGAGTTTTTCACCCGAGATCATGTGCTTATGAATATACTGCAGCTTAACTAAGAGGCTTCAGGCCTTAGCGAAATTGATTTAGATGAGAGTGATTGAAATTTCAAATTGGGCATCTCTGGTCACTGTATCGAGCTTTTACTTACCATGTACTGGCTGAACACGATGTTTGATTGTTCTTTGATGCTTTCTGTTGACTGTATTGCCTGCCATATTGAGTGCTTACAGTTCCCCATTCTCGGCTGCCTCCCGTGGGGTCTGCTTTACAATTCGTTCCGCAGAGTGATATTCCTTTCCACTACAATAGACTTCTTGCCATGTTTAGGAGTTTTTTTCAAACACAAGACAAGCTCAGAGTGATGAGATGTATTTGGCGGATGAATTTCTAAGATAGCAAGACAGCTATTTGTCAACAACAGCGAGTGTGCCTTAGCTTGTTACAAACCAGAATGCAGAAAATTCGTTTTCAGTAAGCACAAACTAGTAGCAGAAAGCAGATGGACTTTTTGGCCTGCCTACTAAGGGATATCAGTAGCCCCTCATGAATGAAGGAACCTATATGAGTTTCCATTTCTTCTCCTCAACTCCCTTGCTTCCCAAATCCGGCTGGAGGACAAGAAGCCAGCTATTATGTAGTGAGATCATTTAGAACAAGGCTTGATGCTCCAAGCTATAAGTTTCTCCGAATGCCTTCATACTTTGTTTTACTTTGAGTTCACAACGCGCAAGATGGCGTTCCACGAGGGCCAAGCGTCTCTTCCTCCAAGGAGCCAGCCGCTTGTGGAGGGTGACAGTCCATCTTATAGCCGTCTAGCTAAAGTAGCTGTTATCAACAGACTTCCACCGCCTGGAACGCTTCAAACTATCTCCAGCTTCTGTTTATCCCCTCCAAACTCGCCAGCGAGGGTGGGGCAACCTTCTCTGATTTCCTATCTGGGAGTAGTAGAGCTTCACATCTGTTCATCCTATATCTTCAAGGAGGTTGTTTGCGATATTTGACCACCTGACAGAGCTCGGGCCAAGACGAAGGTAGGCTCGACCCACAGTCACCACGCCCTAGTAGAGTACCAGACGAAGGTGAAGCTATTCCCAGCGATTCACTTCAAGCCGCTCCAGGGCGGTCTTCTTCTTCCACCAACCCTTAAATAGAAAGTCTTACCGCAGTAGGTCTTTCTTCCTCCATTCTCGACCTCAATATAAATCAACTCGACAAAACGTCGCACAAGATTGGCATCCTCTCGACCCACATACTCTTCGACATATCCTATCAGCCGCAATGTCAAACTTCAGCGCATCAGACTTCGATCTCCCTGGCTTCGATCTCCCAGACTTTGACGTCCCGGACTTTGACATGTCAAACTTTGGCCTGTCAAGCTTTGCCATGAACGAACCTTGCATGATGAATTTCGACAACCGAGCTAATGGAAATGCGCTGAACGCATTCCAATGGCCTGACGAAGGCAATCTCATGGCCGAGTTTATACATGGATCTCCGGATGCCTCACCCGTTCTTGCACAGTCGCCTTTTCAGGTCGACCTCGATATTATTGACGATTTGGCGGTAGCTCCTGCCAGTAAGGAATGGATGTTTGACGTCATGCTCAGTACGTTGGCCCCATCGGCACTGGGGGCGTGTCTACTTGTGTCAATCGCTGACCTAGCTCTCTTAGACGACGTTGTTCCTTACCGGTATCACGACCATTTACGCCTCTTTCCCGACATTGAGTTTTACCGAACGCTGTTGTACAATCGCCCGAACCGCGATGTGATATGGGGTTTTGTTACGCGATTCCACGAGTGGATCTCAAGTGTTGCGGCATCATCTCCTGACCAGGCCGACGAAGTCGTTACTGCCTTGCAACATCGTGCCTTGTTCCATGGCTGGCCTGGCACAATAAGCACCGCTACTGGTTCTGAATCACACTCATCCCAAGCCCCTTCCACCCAGCATCAGCAAGACCTAGTCTCACCATCGACTTCAGCGGTTCCGACACCAGTAGTTGTTTCAGCTCAAGGGAGCAAAGCTGCGTCTCAGCTCCCGGTAACAACTGAACATCAGCATGACTTACTGAAGGTAGAATTAATCGTTGCCCCAGTGTTCCAGTACAAAGGGATCATAGCGAGTATGGACCACTTCACAGAGCTGAACGATGCGTATGAGCGGCATGTGAAGCGTGAGGCCGGTGCAGCCCCAGAAGACGATGTATCTTGGCCTGTGTCTGCCGAACAGCAACAAAGCTATGTACAGAAGCTTTTCGGTTGTATTACGGACTTGGACGACTTTTTCGAGCTCAGAAAGGCTCGAGAGCGCCTCGGCAACATCCAAAAGACTCAACAAGAAACTCTCGCAGCTGAGCCCGTGGAGAACCAACGAAAGAGGCGCAGGGGCCCCGATGGACAGACTGTCAGCTCCGATCCTGCAGCCAGGCCCAAGGGTATGAGCAAGACGGATTGGGCCCTCATAGATGAGAATAGCACGCCTGTGAGTCTTCTGGAGGCAGTGATACATCATCGTATCTCTGCCATTGAGGTCGAATTGCTTTGTTGGCGACTGCTGGTAAGTCAAAATTCGACACACATCACTAATTGTCCTTTCATCGCTAACAATTTCTCAGCGCTGTGCTATGGAACAGCAAAAAGGATATACGATGAGACCTCTGTGGTCCGGAACGAGAACTGTATCCACATGGGAGCACTTCGGAACGTTTTCAGAACGGTGGCAATCCATCTGCAATAATCTTCAGGTATCCCTTCTAGCGCCATGCATTCGAATTCTGGTTTTTGACACTTCGATAGGATTGCAAGATGATAGTTCACTCGCTCACGCGTGCAGACTGGATCTGCAAGTACGCGGGCGCGCCATCCAAAGAAAGAGGTGTAGGTTCTTTGACCTCCACTGGCTAAGCACGCACATGAACTTCACTGACAATGTCGTAGGCGAAGCTTAGCAACGACCTCCTCAATGGCCGCCGAGATATACAAAACCAAGTTGGCCGGGATGTAATAAAAGAAAAGACTTCTCAGCAGGCTTGGACAACGTCGGACAACTTTGAGATTCGCGACAAAGATGGTGAGCTCATTTCAAAGGGAGGCCATTTAGGCGACAAGAAACGTCGACAACTAGCTCTCAGAAGCAGGGAAAACAATGGCCATTGACCTAAATATTCAAGTCAATAGCTTGTGAGTTGTGTTTCCGAATGCCGGTAGTGCTATAGATATGCACCACTGGGAGGGCTTCGCGTTTGATAGATCAGTGCGATCAAGACCTGCACTGTCTCAGCCAGATATGAGGAAGCTTTGGATTATACGGGACCGAAAGCTACACAGACAGACATGAGGGTTTAATTACCTCACAGAAACAAGGACACATGGGAGCAATGACATTCCCATTGAATTTTCAAGTAGAGAAGAGACAAAAGAGCCGCAAAGGGCTCTATACCGCCATTTATCATATGCAACATTCTTGCTGCTCAATAACCGAATAACTCGTCATATTAAACATGCATCAACTGAGTACTGGCCAAGTCCCACATGCTGAAGCCGAGGTGCGAACTTCAAATCCATGGCAATGAAGCCGCATGCGATCCCCGACGTAGTGCTAAACGTAGATGTCAAACAGAATTAGGAAGTCGGATAAATCTTGAAGGATTAAGATCAGTATCATAGTGGCGAAATAAGTGCTCTAGGATTTGAGATTGAGTATCACCAGAATAAGGGGAAAAAAGGTTTCGAAAGATTTTTATCAATACGATAAAAAACCAGCACGGCTTTAAACTTGGAGTTACTTTCGTCGAGAAGCGAGGAAATACCACCAGAGAAGGAGGGTGCAAATAGTAAAGATTCCAGTGAAAACAAAATAGATCCAGATATAGCTCGAAACTCTAGAAGTCTTTCCTTCATCTGGAGACCAGTTGAAGAAGGTCATTGAGAATAAGGTCTGACTTATCAACTTGGATTCCCAGTATGCGGGACGTTTATGAAAATAAACTTACAGCGAAGAACGTGCCAGGAAGAAAGACCATCGTGACCAAGGCAATATAGCGCATCTGTTTAGAATCTTGGCTAGTAGCGGTTGCAATGTCCACATTAGTGTCGCTTTGCGCCTGCGATGGAGATTAGTGGACTACCTGGCATCTATAATAGCAGATATAATTGAAGAGAACAGCCTAGAACGAGATATAAGGGTCACATCGACTTACCCACTGCGTGGCAATGGTCATCCCTTCAATACCCACTGTGCAATCTTGGATCCTATCCTCATGATCTTCAATGAGAAGTTGTAGTTGATCACGGATCATTGCTCCAGTCCTCTCCATTGACGACTTCAAAGCCGCATTGTTCCCCAGTTGGTTCTCACATTTGTCCTGCCAGAAAACACCCTCGATCATCTTCCCTTGGTGAACACTTGACAACTCAGCAACCTGTTCCGCCATCTTGCGGAGTTGCTCTTTCCAAATTCTCAAACTATTTCGAAGGTTGTTTGCATTTAACCATGCGTTCTTCCGAGATTCTCTCATTTCGACCTCGCGGGGCTCACTCGAGCCCACAACACCTAACTTGAGTATTTCGTCTTCGATGGCCTTCACTGTCGCCTTCACTACTGTCTTCATGCGGTCTCTCTCCAACTCGGCAAAGATAGCTGGGAGGACAAGAGGATATGAAGAGTATTGCTTTACTCGGCTCAATCTCCCGAGTATGTGTCGTTCAATATTCGCTGGACACCCGAATAATATGGCGAAGGTCAGCTGTGTATGTGGGAAATACGTTGCTGTCAGGGCCATGTCGTCTGCCCATGTGTTAGATGACCTGACTTGGTACACTAGCTCAAATGTTAGAATGATAATTAAGTCCGAATCAGCCAGTTCAGACATGACCCCTACCTACTGCGGGGTGGCTGACCGAAGTCTCATCCCCAAGCTTCGTGGCGATGTAAGACCTGGAAAAGAGAGGGACATCCGCACGGCTAACAACTCGGGCGATCGAAGAATGTACGAAAAAACGTCTGCATATGTCTTCAAATGTGCTCTGACAGAAGGGTAGCTGTCGCACCTCTCTTTTCCCGCCTTTCATAACCTTCTCTGGGTCGGCGTAGCGGCTGTCATCTGGAACACTAAGACCAGACGAAACTTCATCTTCGTTCTCGAGACGACTAAATTGAAGGTCTTCTTTGCCGACGACTTCTTGATTGAGGTCCGAAAAGTCGGAATTTTGGAGGTGCTCTGTTCCAAAAGACCTCTTCGCGGCTTCGGCGGGCTTCTGTGCTATTCTTCGTCGGAATAGCAGGTCAGATAAAATTGTCCACCAGCAAAGGGGACGAACACCGTACATGAGCACAAGGCCAGAGTCCTTATGGACTGACGGGGTGTGCTAGATAGGTTCAGTAGTGTAGCCACCCTCGAGACCAGCCACCGGGCGAAAATGGAAAATCACCGTCTTCAGCCATGACTGCCACTCTTCTGGCGTTGTATTCGACGTGGTGACCTGGGTATTGGTCCACAATGAGCTTCTTTAACATTTGGCAGGCAGAGAGTAATATTGAACGAACACGTTGATTCCTGAGAAAACTGGCCACCGTCGTTTTCTGCTGTCCGTACCGAAAAACATTTTGAAGGTCTGCTAGATTAAAGCTTCCATTTTCGGAGGCCCATTCCATCGTTAAGGAGGATTCAATGTATGGAGGCTCCGATTTGTCTTCAATTGAGAAATCTCGCAGCATTTGGAAATGTGGAAATTGGCACATTGGCAGCTTATCATGGCGTGCTGGCCGTCACTGTCTCGCGATGGTATGATGTGTCAAGCAGCCACGGCAGCCTGCTTCAAGATTGCGGGCGGCCTGAGGTGATGCAGCGCCGATGGGGCCTGGTCGCTGCAGTCTTGCAGGTGGACTACAGAGTCGTGTAACACAGGTTTCCTGTTTTATGCATCAGGCTAGCTAATCACATTAGATTCACATCTTATCTGAGTTGCATGACTACCGCTACGGCGCCACCGTCGCGTCGGTGAGAGCATAGGAAAGCGATATGTGACGGCGTCCTCTATTTCATCTATTTCAGGTGTGCGTATAAGCCTATGGGTGACCTATCATAGACGCAACTTTCACTCAGCGGGATCATAAAAGATTGCAAAAACTGCAAGGCTCGGCAGGCAGCTTGCTCTACTACATGATTTGCCTCCTTGGCAGCGCCAAATGAGTTGCGTGCTATGGTGGTGGTAAGACCTGCAATTCCCTCTTGCCAAGAGGTCGTAGCCTACTTCGGCCCACACAAGTGCAACAGACCACGATAAATTCAACAGGCGCTATTTGGTCTGTCCGCTCGCTTTTTGTAACACGGCATGCGCGTGAATGCTTCGTGTCACCACCGAGTCAACAAAGAGCACGTCTCATTCCGTGTTTGCAGATGGGAGTTGGGCCATTTACTTGGGTACTAATGTGCTTACTGAAGTACCTGACGCAGGTAGGCAACCACATTGGGAGACGGCACTCCCCAAGTCACATTTCGGCCTGAACCGCTGGACGCTTCGCAAGGCTCTCGAGGAACTCTCCACGTTTTGTTTTATGTCAGGTTCTTCCCACGCCACCTTGACTGACAGGGACATTGTTGCCGTTCAAATGTGTTCAGTGCATCCCACTTCAACTAATCTCAAAGGGTAAGACAGGATGACGAACTTCTTGTCGAAACTCAAAAAGGGAGCCAGGCAGCTTCTGCCTAGCTATCTATCCACAACGGCAGCTGAGAAAGTCGAAGAAAATATGGAAAAAGAAATCTTCGAGGGCAGATACACTGATGAATCGGTGGTTGCGCAACATTTGCGGGCAATCTTTCCAGGCCAAAGGTTCCAGATCTCTGTGAGAAATTCTATCAATCTATAAGCAGGCTTTACGCTGTCCTTCGTGTTTAGAAGTGCTGACCACAAAGCCTGGATTCTTCAGTCAGAGAGAGGCAGAATATTTTGCAACATTCCGCGCAAGCTGACACCGGTGAGAACGTGATACATCAACCTCGGAGGCTTCTCATCTGAACTCCCTGTGTAGGCCGAACATGAAGTCATAGCGAAAGCAATGCGGGCAGATCATTACGCTCCTGTCCATTGAAAAGAGAATTGCGTATAGTGAACCTAAAGTCAAATACCAATGTCGTATTGCATAGCAAATCAAATTTTGAACGAAGCCAAAACAAAGCATAACTGCTCGTGATTATTAAGGGAACTTCGGATAGATCCTCCAACGCCTTCCTGGCAACCTGCTGACTTCCAATAGTCGCTGCCCCATTCTAGTTACCAAGAGCCGGTCTTGTCTTACCACCAAAACCCCTGATGGTCTGGTTGTCGCCGACTGGAATATTGGCAATGTGCTTCTTCGCCATTTCATTCAGACGTGCGTGGGCAGGTAAAATGACCGGAACTTTAACATTTGAAGAAATTGACGTCAGGCAGTAGGCCTCGACTTCGCACTTGCGCTCCATTGTCTTCAAAGATTCCAATAGGTCTGCGCTGGTAATTCGTTTCAGATCCTCAGATTGGACAATTAGGAGTCGGGTTTGAACCAAGGTGAGCAAATCGTTGATGAATTGGGAGCAGGATCGGTGCCCACGCAATCGGTCGAATTCCTAGCAGATTTAACGGCTGATGCAATCTGTATTTAGCGTGGAGTACTGTTCACGAACCTTTGTTACACTCTCCTTGATATTGAAGGCATACTGTTCCCCGGCAACTCGCAAGATTTCGAAATAGATAGGTGTGTCATGGCTAGTGATGTACGGAGACATGCGCCTTTCCTTGAACTTCTCATATCCCTCCCACCCGTCGAGGACCCAGACCATGAATTCGAGGATGAGGCATCCGAGAGTCCATATATCGAAAGACCGAGAGATGCGGCCTTTCACTCCTTCCATATCGCACTCGGGGGGTCTGTAATTTGGGGAGACGGGAATGTTTTCGCCAGGTCGATTGGAACGGCTTTCCTGCCTATGTGTGCGTGTAAGACCAAGATCAGAAAGCACCAGTTTGCCTAGGCCCTCAGACTTGAACCACAGAATGTTCTCAGGCTTTATATCACCATGTCGTCCATAGAGAGGCTGCCCGTTAGGGTGTCGTAGATCTTCATCTTTAGGATCGTGAATGAAGCTCAAAGCACCTGTGATGCCACGAATTTGGTCCACAGTCCAAAGAAAGAAACTATGATTTCTTTTAATTGCTGTATTTCTCTTCCAAAAGTCGAGTAGATCGCATTCGGCCCAAGGGAATAAGAGAAGGTACTCAAGGCCATTGTTGGTGTGACGGCTGAATGTTGCGAGGAGTGTAACTATGTGGTCATGTCTTCCTCCGAAACGCTTCAACTGCAGGACTTCTTCGTCGAATTCACTCTTATCTGAGATGTACAGTCTTTTGAGAGCAAAGCATCCTGGTGCGGCTGAGATCTTGGGTTTTGGGAGATCAGAATAATGCTGTGAGATTGGAGCCAGGAACATACCTTCTTGAGGCTCTCTTGAAACCCATGCTGCCAGGCGTGGATGACAATTTGCTTCACCTCTCCGAAGCCACCACTCAAGTTCATCGTAGTCAAACCCTCCGATGCAAAGATGGAGACAGGGTTGGATATCTTGACCCACGGGAGTATGTGAGCATTCTCGAACTCGTAGTGAGACACTTCGCCCTTGCTCGGAGATTGTGCAATGTAACGGACAAACAGGCGACACTGTAAGATATAAAAAGTGTCCCCATTGAGAGGGTTCCATCTACCAAAAGGCAGATTCGGTTGGCCATATCTCTGATCTTGATACATTCGGATTTCGTGTTGGGCTAGAGGTAACTTCTCGTCACTAAAGCCCGCGTCGACAAAATTCTGGATGGAAGAAGCTTTCTGCATGAGGACAAGGATCGCAAAGATGAGCCGGTACTTTGCAGGAGCTCCATTCAGCCCAAGAATTCGGCAAGTCCATTCTCGACAGAAGTGGTCGAATGAAATCTCGTCATGTACCTTGGTGAGTGAACTTTGTCTGAAAACATGGCGGACAATGACATAGACGGTTTCTTTATCGAACAAGTGCTCGAAAAGCTTTGTTGGCCAGAAATAATGATCATGGTCCGATGTGATGGGCGACTTGACCGCCTGGTCCCACACTCTGTTCATAATTTTTTGCTCCAACTCAGCGTCGTTCTCGATGACGATTATCTTTTCTAACTTGGGCAAGGAAGGTGTCAGCCATGGCGTGAAGTCGGTTGCTTGTTGAGCTCCAGCAGTTCTGTCTGTGTTGGCCATCACGAATGACGTAAGTGTGAACGAATTGCAGGCTTTGGAATTACGAGAATTTTTAAAAGGGCAGCTTCGGACCTACTAACTTCTCAGCGGTCTTGACATAAGTATTGAAGCCATAGCGCATTTATATTACATCTTGGGTAGACTTGAGAGTTGGAGATCATACAAGGGCCTACTGCGCCAATGATAGTTTCAAGAAACACACTACACCCTCTTCAATGCAGCTTACCTCTGGCTGTCGCTCTAAAAGGGTAATTGCTCTGATAGCCTAGTATGGGTGGCTTGAAATTTAGGTCTTGTGCCATGATTTGAAGCAGGCTGTGACAGCAGTGCTGCCAACCTCCCACCCTTACGAAAGCAGCCACATCCTGCCTGCTTTTGTGCCATACGGACGATGCAGTTTGGGTGGTGTTCACTGGACAATTATGCATGCATGCCGAAGTGGGCAATATTAGGCAATAAATGAATTATTTGTAGACATGATGAGTCGAGACATCTCTCAGTCCAAGTCCATGCATAAAGGATGGCTTATCTCAACAAAATTAGGTCTTTTTCTGTACGGCTCAGCTGTTCTCTGTGGTGTAACACACCCTCACATTTGTGAAAAATCAGACAGCCGGAAGTTTGTTAGGCTTTTGCCTAGGAGCCATGAACTGAGAATTGGGTGGAAAATCATTCGCAACTATCGCAGAACACAAGGTAAAGAACATGACTTCCAGCCACACTCGGTACCTAGACTAAGTAGGCATGCGGATCATTCTTCCCTCCCGCATCACTATATGACACTGACTTACATGGCTCGAAGCTTTGCCTTTCCCATTTAATGAGTTCCAAACTTTTGGACACGACTTGAACGATTATCAGCATCTATCATGAAGCGAAATAAGAGACTGGGTTGCAGCCTTGACTCACCAGATCCAAGGGGGCGGATGAGGTTTCTGCTCTGATGCAGTACACGTTTTGCCTTGTCTACGTGAAAGTCTCAGCTGATAAGATCTTTGTTGGGTGCTTCTTTTGCTTCCTCTGATAGATGGCAAAGAGACAAGGTGCGAATTTGTGCTCCGTTGGGGACATACTTCCACAGAGAACTTCCCAGATCCGTATTTCTCCGTTAAAAGATCTGACAAGCCGTGCAAGCTCTGAACAGATTTACAATCAATAAACTGCCATTCACCGGTGGAACCTGGGGATGACATGGTCGTAATGACTCGGGGTGAAGACCGTGAAGATATGATTCCCTAGATGACGTAGAGCTCTAGGCAAGAAAAGGGATACCTAAGTACTTGTATGTGAAGGGGAAGATATTGGATTTACAGAGAAGGACTAATTTACTGGAGTTTTATGGCTGATAATGGTGGATGACTGAATAGGGTTCTATACTATGAAAAAGGATCTGAAGTGAAAAGCGACCTTATCTTGAGTGATCAATTCATTTGTATTTAATACCGAGAACGCTCTAGATTTATATCCGCTCAAATACATCATGACAGGAGGAATCGCTGAGGATCTATTCTGAGCTCCGAGTCCGCCTATCCCTTCTAGAGCGAAAGGTTCGGAGTGGCATGGGGACACTTCCGTTCACTGGTCAGCCTCAGCTGTCACTGCCACCACAAACCGCCCCTTCTTATGCGGCGTCTGAATCACGCTTTTTCCATTTCCAATCTCATACAATGAGGCTGAACCTGAGATATCCTGGAATCAGTCCTATCAACGTATCTTGGCGTAATCAACAAGGCGGTCGGTGTGTCTGACGAGCAGGCAACGCCCAGTCAGCATGCAATGGATGAGTGGATGCCGAGCAATGCCATCATTTTCCGTTACATTATTGGCAGGTCTCAGTTCAGCTTGGCAGCGCCTCATTCCCTTTCCAAACGGAATCTCCAAAGTGTTCGTAGGCCAGAAACCCGAATTCTTGGTGTAAGTCGCATATACACATGACAAAAGGTACCCAAGACATGAGAAGCGAGATAAAGGAGACAACGGCGTCCATGATCATTATAGAGTACGAAAGAGGCACTGAGCCATTGGTACATGTATCTGATACACGCTGGACCTCTTCTCCCAATATAGAAGTGAGCGTGAGCCACAAACTCCGAGGCCATAGTTATGTACCAGACACTATGAACAGCTAAAGCTGGTCACACAGCGCACTCGTCTGGCGTCCTGGCTGCTACATTTGTCCGCACCTGCCTAGCTGGTCAGCCTCCCGCATCATTTAAAAGATTGAGGCTGTGTAGCCTTTATTTTGAGAATTCAACTGAACTGGTTCCCTGTAATACAGTCTGGAGTTTTGGAGGAAGAGACAAATAATAAGGCTGTCTGACCAATGGTACAATATATGTCACATCATCTTCCTTCACATCTAGCCAGTGAAAGGTACTTTGGTTGATCAAAGCACTACCGAAAGCGATCTTTCGACAACAAATACTACATGAACCCAGATGACGAATTTCCTGTACATTCAAAAGCACATAAACCATTTGATAGCATCGGATCGCTCGCTATGAACAGGCCAATAGAACATGATAGTGCTATAGCCACTGATCAGACGCAGTATTTGAAAGAGACTTGCACTATGGTAGGTCACACGAGTTCTGAGCTCGATCATTTGCTGAAGATATTTCTGAGTGTAGAAACTTCCCTTCAGACTTTCTATCGGAAACGCGAACGACGTTTTATCCCCGTCCATTCCTACAACGAGACTGGAGGAGACCGGACAAAACTTATCCTTGACAAACTCCAGAACACCTACAGGATACCGAAGATTGAATATTGAGGACGATGATATCAGTATTCATACTCAAGATGACCGAGGATACGCGGCTGCAGAGAAGGTACTTAGAAGAAAGGCCACCATTGAAGCATGCCACAGAATCGTCGAACCCGCTGAGTCGGACTTTGAGCAAATAGGTTCTCAGTTTCTACCCACAGCCCCTCGCCCAACAGGTCTATCTGCAGTCACTGCAATGGCACGAGATGTATCCATGTCGCTGGAGTACTACGCCGGAATATTCCAGGGACCGCAATGGTTACCAGTCAATCAGCTATACAGAATCGTTACTGAATATTCTGTTGTCGAAGCATTGAAGGAATGCGTTACAGATGTGAAACTTTCTGAAAGCGAACTTGAGAAATATTCGAAAGCTGTCTGCCCTACCAACAGCCTCCACGGGGGCGTTGGTTCTCGAAGCATGTTTGCCATCCTCGCGGTCTTGAGAAAGGTTAATGAAATTCGACAATTCATTGACCTCGGGCTCTCTGATAATGACCTGCCATTTAGGGCAGACCCAATTCATTCTAGACCGGATGGCCAACTATTTCCAAAAAATCATACTGTCGATCATCAAAATCTGGGACAAACGTTCGGACGCAATTGGGATCTCAAAGACTGGGCCGCGTTCTCAAAATATCAAACGGCGATGCGATCACCGTTTTTTACGATTGATCTCAGCGAGAGGGACAGGATTATTCCTCATTATGAATTGGATGCCGAGACAGTGCTTCCCTTCATTGAGGCGTCCCCTGTCCCATCGTCTAACATCACGTACCACAGCATGGTGCAGCGAGTACAAATTCACCTGCATCATTATACGATGCACAAGGTGCCGGGTCACACCCGTCAACCAGCAGGCATCGAAGAAGTCTCTCTTCAGTTGGGTACATGTGTTGAGGAGAATCCATATTTTGCAGTCAAAGAACTTCTTCCCGAATATGGCGACCGACAAAGCAATGAGATCAACTTCCGCGAAGAGGTGCGAGCTTTGGCCAAGACTGTTGGTTTATCAAGCCATGACCATGTCATTAAACTCCTCGCAACTTGGAGAAGAGGTGACAAGTGGAGTATGCTCTTCCCCTGGGCTAAGAGCAATCTCAAAAACTACTGGAATCAAAATCCTCCCCAGAGATCCCCGGGTTTTGTTCAATGGATATTATCCCAATGTCGAGGCCTTGCAGAAGGTCTTCAGAAGATTCATAGAAGTCCATCAGAGCACGCCAAAGACTTCGGCATTCATGGAGACATAAAACCTGAGAACATTCTTCTTTTCGACAGCAAGTCAAAAGCCTATGGCATTCTAGTCATCAGCGACTTTGGCTATACTCGTTTCCACGGCAGAAGTACTCGGTCAAACACCCTGATAGTAGGTACAAGCCCAACCTACAAAGCACCAGAGGCCGACCTTGGAAAGACTATTGCAAGGTCATACGATATGTGGTCATTTGGTTGTGTGTTACTAGAGTTCATTACCTGGTATTTAAGAGGGCCGGCAGGTATTCGAGATTTCATCGACCGCCGGAATGAGGACGATGAGAGACTGATACCTGGTTGCTCTTTGGACAAATTCTTCAATATCAAAAGAGAAGATGGTTTGAAAGACAAGCCAGAAGTCAAAGGCTCAGTACTGAGCGTAAGTAAAATCGATGATTTTTGTTTGATAGGCACTAACTGTTGCTCTCCACACATATGTAGTGGATCTCTGAATTAGGGTTAGACACACACTGTAGTGACTACCTCAAAGAGCTCTTAGCCCTCATAGTCACAGAGCTCCTACAACCTGACCCGAAGAGTCGAGGAAAGTGCGATAAGGTAGCCGAGAGTCTTAGGAGATTGGAACAAAGTTGCAGGTCCGGAAGCCTCGAGTTTCTCACGGATCGAAGTGCCGGAATACCGAGTATGCTGTCTACACCAGTCACACCATTGTCTAATGATTCATGGGATGATTTGGTGAATGATGGTCTTCGTGAGCCTACAGTCTCTGCAGCATATGAATCTGGTCACAGTGACACCTGGGCCTCAGGTAGTGATCGCGAATCAACCGACATGATTCATCGATCCAGGGACAGATCTGACACGACAATCTCCAAGATCGATTCTGGTCTCGGAATTGGCGAAGGAAGTTTCCGCCAGTCAAGGTTAAGTGGTCATATAGAGGAAGAGCCCACAGAGAGAACACCACTGGTGACAACCATTCCGGCATCATATCGATCAAGCAATTTGTACAGCAATCCAGGTTTTGAAGGACTAGGTCCATATTGTGATCAAAGGGACCAAGATATAGACACAGAGGATTCAGTCAAAACTTCAAAAGGGCCTTGTCAAACACAGCAAATGAAGCCAAGTTCTGGTACGCTGAGCGAAGTTGAGACTGAGAGTGGCTCTCGTTGGCAGGGACTAAAACAGATATTGCGATGTTGGTTTGCGTCATTGGAGGACTTATAGATGTCTTCATTTTCCGTTAGAACGGTCGAGTCAAGTCGGTAGTTTGTTGGGAAATAAGTCTTTCTCTACGACTGCAGGCTCCTTTTCGCTCGTTCACTCTAAGGATCTCGTTGAGAATTGCTAAATATATGATTGAAATGTCTTTCTCATATGAACGCCTCAGAACCTCACAGCCTTTGATATTTTTCGGAGTTCGAAGACGAGACGAAGCATGCAATCGGATTCCGGGCTTCTTAGGTCATAAGATATTATCAACGAGTCGTTAGGTCTCTGAGCTATTTGAGCTAAGTAGTATTCTACACACTGATCCATCTTGCCATCCAAGTCTTGGTGATTTTCTTAGCCTCATCAACCAAGCCAAGGTCCAGTAGCATCTGAACAGTACCACGTGTAGAGCTCTCAAGAGCACTAAAGACCCATGAATGTGTGAAACTGGTGTGTTCGCCAATGAAAACAGTGTTGAATTCAGTCTGCCAGAAGGCCGGCAGGTAAAGCTGTTGTTGGGGAACAATGGGAACGGCAAAAGCTCCTGCATGATGCTCATCTTGTTCCCAGCAGTGACGCTCGTAGTTTCCAGTCCACATCTCATCGGCAATGGGCCCGTGAATCTCGACCATAGCGCGCTGGATGTAGGCAATATGCTCCTCAACAGGCATGGAGCAAGCGACAACCGCGTCAGCGTCGGGCGCATAACTCGTAAGCATGACACCAGGGCCCGTTCCGTTGATGTTGTAAGAAGGGTAGCAAATCTGGCCGATGCCGTAAATGTCGGTACGTCCACAGCCACCAATGATGGGGTGCTCGAGGTGCTCCCAGAAGCGAGTCTTGTACTGCATGGCAACCTTCACAGCACCCAGGAAGACTGTGCGCTCAATGGCACGGCGCATCAAGCTAGAGTGAGGCGGCAGCTCCCAGTACTTGAGTACGTTGAACGGTACGCTGTTGAAGACATGATCAAATTGTTCGGTCGTAGTGTTCTTGGACCAGGGGTTGCCTCCAGTCTCACGCCACGTGACGTTGAGGTTGTTGGAGTCCTCGTTGTACTTGACGCTAAAGACCTTGGTCTTGTAGGCGATGCGGTCTTTGATAATATTTTCAAATGCAGCGGGGAGACGGCTGATACCTCCATCAACTGTGCGCCACTCATTGGCCAGGAAGTAGACAGTCTCGAACTCCCACATGGGCCAGACGACGTGAGACGGGGTTACCTCATCGGTCACATTCAGGTCGGTGTTCATAACGTGGAGGAGGTACTCGACCTCAGAGAAATCGAACATGCCAGTCTCAACAGCCTCCTTGTGGGCCTTGAAGACATTGGTAGCGTAGAACTTCCGTCTCTCGGGCGTCAAAGCCTTGAAGTCATCAAGAGCCTGGATGGCTTCCTTGGCTGCGGTAGCGTTGGAGTAGGTCGTGTTGGTCATGAGGGAGGGGTCGGCGGCGATCTCCTTGCGACCGGGGACAGTGCCATCGGGACGGCGCTCCTTGGTTGCAACAGGGGCATTGTCGGAAACCTGGATCCACGGGATGAACTTGACTTGGAGAGCGGGATCCGCGTCAGCGTTAATCTCGTTGAGGACATCCGCCAGCTGGTAGATCATCTTCTGATCGTTGATGGGGTAGGTCTCGTTGGTTTCAGCATCGTAAATGCTGTGCGGAAACCGCATAGGTCCTAGCTCGTGGTGCTGATGCTCGTCCGGAGTCGATCCGTTTAGGTAGGTGGTGCGAATACGTCCACCGACTCTTTCTGAAGACTCCAGAATCTTCCAGTTATGAATTCCTACTGAGTCGAGTAGCAACTGTGGCTCTAGTCAGCTTCTTCTCCCGAATGAAAGGTCTATGAAAACTTACGCCAGTGTGCAGACCGGAGATGCCGGCGCCCAAGATACCAAACGTTTTGTTCTTTACCGATGCAACAAACACATCGTCGGGTTGCTTCTGCTTGAGGTACTCAACGCCATCAAACCAAGGGCCCATTGGGTCCGTGGCCTCGGCGAAAGTCGCACGCTTTCTCATCTTGCGGCTCTTAACAGAGTGTTCTGAAGAGCGACCGACAAGCTGGCTGTCAACAAAGGCGTGCAAGCATCCCGAAGACACATCCTCAGGCACCATCCAGACAAACTTTGTAGGCCTTTGATCTGTCCATTCCAGATGACGCTTTGCAGCAGGGTGAGAGCCAATGTGTGTCCGCCCAATCTTGTGATGGGCTTCGAAGGGGGATCTCATTCCACAATCACCATAGACAAGGGATAGCTCTCCATCGAGAGGGCCATTGTACTCGATGTTGATGTTGCGAACTCCGTTTCTCTCGACTTCAAACGGACCCTGAAAAGAGACCGTCTCGCGGAATACGGGTTCCGCAACAGCCGTCTGGCAAAGACTGGCTGCGGCAGTGAGGAGCGTTGACCAACGGGCAGCCATGTTGACTATGGCAGATTTTGAGGGCAAGGTTGACAAACGGTGAGAAGTTCAAGAGGCTCAAGGCTGATGCCCGTGATTATAACCTGCTCTTTATATGGCTGTCTGCCGAACGCTCCTCTACCTTGACTATGCATGAGGCTCAACCAAGTGAGGTTTTGATAAGCACCCGGATGGACATATTGGAGGCTTAGCAGATCTCTAAAGGCTGGGCATCATCTAATTAGATTGACTCAAGTCCTGTCACCGAGGTTTTCGGGGTGCGGAGGTTGCGTTTGGTCGAGTTTTCGTGTCATGTTGCGCAGGACCGGTTACCGACTATCAGGGCACAACTCCGCAATCACTGTAACAACGTGGGAGGCATGCCCGAAGACGGCGCAAGCGACCACAGAGAACGTGGAAAATTCTAATCGCGCATAGGTCATGACGGGGGTCAGAGTTCTCGCTTCTTTGGAGTTCATATCGTTGGTGTCTTGGCGGGAGGGACGCTGCATGGGCCCGGCCTTGTTTACTATCCCGGCATCGGAACCGCGGGGAACCCCAGCTTGCTTGCGAGTTGCGGAAACCGGCCATCGGCTCTTGTGTATTCTGACGCCTTATCTTGGATGAATACCGACCGTGTTGTCGCGGCTTGACCTGCATGGGAATGGCACCAGATTTGCGTGGCGGTGATGACGAGCGAGAGCAAACGATGGGAAAAGGAAGTTGGATAATGTAGAGACGCATTCGCTTGAGGGGCGTTAGGTAATGAGTTGCGCGCAATCCTGTAAAATGGGGCCCCCCGTGGTGGATATCCGGAGGCCCGTTACCCCATCAGGCAAGTCAAATACTTGAACCCTTTTGGGACTTGAGTCGTAGCCAACTACCAATGTCTAGGACTCTAGGAAGTTGCGGATTGCCCTCAGTCTTTCGTTGATAGGATGCTGTAATTGCTTACTAGAGCTGTCAATCTTTGAAAGTTTGGCAGCTCCGGCCGGATGTCAATGCCGACGTTGCCAATGCAAAGCGGTGTATGTGTGGGTCGCCGGTTAAATGTGTCAATTCTCATTGCCATCGCCAAGACAGCAAAATCGGGGTCAACAAGGCCGGATCTCTTGGCTAGAGATAACTTATCTTCATGTCAGCAATTGCCGACCGGATGCTCAGGAATGCGTTATCATGCGAAACCTCGCTGTAAAAGACTGCATGCATCTTGACACCGGCACGGTCCGTCCTTCCTATACCGGCCCGGATGACATGGAGATACTTTTCACGGTACCGACTTGACTTGCTTGGAGGTAACCTCACTACAGTCGCATTTTGAACGCCCAGCACCTAAAACTTCCTGTCCTTAGGCTTGCTTGGGCGGTGATTTGTTAGCGACGGTGTCATGGGTCGAACGGCTTTCACAAAACCATCGATTGCTTTTCGGCCCGCAAAGCTGGTGTGACGGTTCGTCTCCTTCCTTTAGCAAGCAATCAATTGAAGAGATAAGTGAGGTAGAATCAGCAATTAAGAAGAATGACGGTTTCCATCTGGGACTTAACACCCATGCAGACATCAAATCAGCTACTCGTCATTCTAATCCTGCTCATGTTGTTACCCAGATCATGCCTTTGTACGTATTTCGCATGCAACTCCTCCGTTGTGCGAGTAAGTGAACAAGATCCTGGAAATCATATAGCACATCTCTCATGCAGTTTTAAAGCAAGCTTTTGAAATCCTCAACTAGTCAATTAACAGCAATTGCCATATTTCATGGTACTCATACCACGGTTGACAGTCAACGTTACACCTAGCTCGTAGAATCAAAAGTATCATCAAGTATAGAAAGCGAATCCGAGGAACTTTATATCACATTACACTCTCGAACTCTTCTTATTAGACAGCCTCGTTATCCAAAAGCTTGTAGAGTCATTCTCACCTTCAGGAGGTGCGGATATCCTTGTCAACCGATTTAGCGGAGGAAACTCGGGAGCAAATCCACGGCCTATTCTGCAGGTTCTAATCTAGTCCGCAAATAAATCCCTTCAGCCCACATAATAGGCTCAGTATTTTGAGGTTTTTAAGTGAACTCTTGTCTTTCATTACTTTCGTGCTTTCCGTACCTTAGCTTTACGGATGTAAGAGAGAGACAGTTGTCACTAGTCCAGAAGCGGGGTAAGCATCACGTCTACACCTTTTGCGACATAGGTACGAGAGGATAGCATCGGGAATGATAAAAATTTGATTACAGCATTGGCGTGGCAGATCTAATTCAGGAGCGTAGATACGTGACGGTAACTAGTTGGAAAGCAGTACATTGAGGCAGCCACTGACATCCGCCATGACCTCTTCTAGGTTGGACGCCACCTGAGATATGTGACTGCTAACTTTGCGCCTGTCGAATTTATAGTTAGAGGCTCTTAGTCTAGCCGTAGTTGATCATTGGAACCCTTATTTTCCTTTCTTTTACACGTCGGTAAATACGTTTTTAAGCAAACGCCAGATGGATTCAAACGGCGATAGCGCGTCCTTGCCATCACTCATCCTCTTTCTCACGTCCGCCTAGTCACGGTGTAGAACTTTTTCAGTTAGCCTTGATGACTAACTTCTCTTCAGCATAC